AGGGCAATTCAGTGTTATACATTAGGAACACTTAAAACAATGCATAAACCTTAAAAAAGAAGCAAATTAAGTTCCGTATTTCATCCTCATTAAAAAGGCAAACAGTTATATTATAAGTGTGTTTATTGTTAACTATTCTGATTTTGAACAACCAGGCAAAACAAGCCAATCTACATAAGCCCTAAAATCTAAGATTTGATAGAGCCATATCATCAGAGTACCTACCATCAAAAGATGGTAACAATTGCTAAATTCAAAAAGCAGTAATAGAACAGAGATACAAACAGGAATCCTGTATTTCTATAATGAAAAATTTTTTCATTATAGAATGTGCTTTCCCACATCTCTTAATTTTTACAATGAAATCTATTAACTTTATCACAACACTAAAGCACTTGCTTTTTAATGCCAATGAAAAGCCAAAAAGGAATACAGAAGCTGAAATAGTGGGTATATGAAATTATGTGGTTTTCCTCTCTAAATATTTTCTGCTTTGGTTAAATTACCTCTCCTTTTGAGATAAAATATATACCATTAAGTCTCACTTTTTTTTTTTTTTAAAGATTTATTTATTCACACAGACAGAACTGGGGACAGGCCAGAGATGCAGGGATGGTGAGAGGAGTCACCAGAGTCAGAGTGAGGAACAGAACAGGCAAATTGACTAAATGCACTGCTGAGGGGAGCAGTGGGCAGGAAAGGAGAGGTCTACTGCCATGTGGATCACTTCTGGGGATCAAACTCTGAACTAAAGCATCTGTAGCTAGCTTTAAAACTAGCCACAGATTATATACTTTAAAACTCACCATTTTAAAGTATATAATTCAGTGCTTTCTATATTCAGAAATTTGTGTTATCTTTGTTAATTATTTTTCTTATTTAAAGTAAAATAGAGAGTCAAGGAAGAAAAATTTAAAATATTACTTGAAGCATTTCAAGTATTCAACTTCAGAATTAAATATAATACCACTAAATGCTTGATAGCGTATACACAAAATGAACAGTTATCACCCTGCAATTTCTTCAAGTAACTGGATGTTATTACAGCAATTCAAAACCCAACAAGGAAATGAAAGGAATGACAACTCCAACAGTCATCTCAGTATCACTAAATACCTCCTAAACTTTCTCCTAAAGTCATATTCAAAAACACATGACACACACAAGACAGTCAAGTTCCCTCATTGTAAGTTACACAATTTGTTAGCTACTATTTTCCCAACTAAGACTGCCCCCTCACTGCTTATGCCAATTCTACTTTTCAAAAAGCTGACCTATACCTTTACTTCAAATCAGGTAATAACTTACAACCAGAGACAACCTCTCCTATACCCTTAAAACTCTATGGCTCTTAATTTCTGTATGACTCGACTGACATTTATTTACTTCCTGAAAATGTCATATATATATATATATATATATACTTTTGTCATTTAAACTATAAACTTCTTTAAGAAAGAAAACATGGAAATATATCAGTATGTGCTTTTTGATGTTACTCAGTAAGTACTCAAAAAATGTTACTTATGAAGCAAGGTTACTGGATAAAGGATAAAGGTTTTCCAACAAAGGACAAAGAATTTCATAAAGAAATCAAACATTAAATATATATTCTCAGTTTCCATCAATTTATGTCTTGAATCAAGAACTGTCATAAAGAGTCAAAGTGTGAACTTAAATTTCAAAAATGAGGACTTGGCTCGCAAGTAGTTCACAGTCTCCAAGTTAAGAATATTAAAACATGGTAGTTTCAGCTTTCTATTTCACAAGCCAATGCTCTACGGCTCAGCCGAAAGCCTGAAAAACAGATCAATGCATGAAACATTTACTTTAAAAGTACTGTATCAAACACTACAACTATAGAGGTGAAAATATTTAATCCCTGCCTTTAGCAAGTCTCTACAAAGACAGCTAATTAAATAATATTCAATGGGGGAATACAGTGGGGGAAAATAGTGATGACATAAATGCCCATTCTCCTTTATCCTCAATTGAATCATAAAACAAGGAAAGGGAAAAACAAAAGCTGCAGTTCACAGACTATCAGAAAAACTAATAAATAAGAATTCAACATTCTGAGATAGCACATTTCTTCTAAAAATCAAGATTTGATGATGATTAAAATGCCAGAGTTTTGTTTTACTTTGCTTCTTGCTGTTTCAACCACACCCAATCATTTAAATGACCCAAGCTGACACTGACTAGAAACAGAGATAAACAATCTTCAATGTGCCTTACATACAAAGGAACTATAAAAGGCCTTCATTTATAACTATGGACAGACCAACAAAATGGAGAAAAAAGGAAAACAATAGCCTTAAATGACTGGCCAGACCAAACAGGCTTGCTGGACATCTATTAGAACACTTTACACAAAAACCATTGCATATACATACAAATTATTAAAAAAAAAATTTTTGCCAAAGATTTATCTATTTATTTAGACATACAGAACTGAGGTACAGGCCAGAGGTGCTGGGGCTGTGAAAAGGATTCACCAGAGATGGAGTGGGGAGCAGAACAGGCAGATCGACGAAGTACACTGATCCTGGGGGCAGTAGATGGGTCAAGAGAGGTCTGTTGTGCCATGTGGATCACCTCCAGGACTGGGGATTGAACTTGCACTGAAGTGGCTGCAGCTAGCTTGCAGTGCTATGTCCTATCCTGTTGTACCACCAAGGAGGACCACTGTTTTTAAAAGGTGACTTTTGGAAAACATCTGAGAATGGGGACTGGTTGCTAGGAAAACAAACATGAATAGAAGAGTTCTGATTTTCTGAGATGGAAGAGAGGCTTGAAGACTAGCTCAATGACCAATGACCAATAATCTAAGCAAAAATTTCTAAGTTGGCCCTCCCTGGTGGTGCAACTGATTAAAGCGCAGTACTGTGAAGCTAACCACAACCACTGCAGGGTGAGTTCAATCTCCAGCCAGAGAGGTGATCTACATGGCATGACAAACCTCTCCTGTCTAGCCTGCCGCTCCCCTCAGCAGTGCATTTCAGTTGATCTTCCTGTTCTGCTCCCCACTCTGTCTCTGGTGAATCTTCTTACCCCACTTCATCTGTGGCCTGTACCCCAGTTTTTGTATGAATACTATAAATCTTTAAAAAAAAAAAAAAAGAATTCCTAAGTAATGAAATACCATAAAGAATGAAGCCCCAAAAAGAAGGGGCTTCAGAGACTTCCAGGTTTGGATCCACAGTGTTTCTGTTAAGGGAAAAAATGTCCTAAAGGAACTGCAGTTTTGTGGACTCCACCCCCTAACTCCAGCTTTCTGGACACTACCCTGCTACTCCAGTGATTGGAAACAACAACTCCCAGCAGTACCAAGGACAGAACTGTGAGGACCCAAGGGCAGAGCTAAGCAGGCATTCTGGGGCTTGGGGAGATAAATAGGGAGCCATTGGATGGCTCTCTTGCTTGGGCAACTGGCTCTCAGGACGGTGTGACTGGGGACTATCAGTTTGCTTGGTACTAGAGCTCCAAGTCAGTGGAGCTGGTAAGATATTTTAGTTACCTTGTATCTCTCTCTCTCTTTCCCTGGGTTGTTCCTTTTCCTTTCCCTTTTTATAAATAAATCCATTACCCTTTTGTGTGTGCCTGCAGTACAACTAAAATTTAAGCCTGTGGGTGAGGACCCACAGACAGGCAGCCCAGTTCACACTGGGTTACACTGTAACATTTCCAGGTGCTGCTCTGCCAAACCCCAAATTCATGAGAAAAGAAGCTCTTTTGTTCTGGGATCTCACACCATGTTTGTTTCTCTTCATCAGCTGTTGATTCATATTCTGTAGTATTCTTTGTAAAATAATTGATGATGTAGTGAGTAAACAGATTTCCTAAATTCTGCGCAACATTTTAGCAAATTTAGAGGAACTTGAAGGTGTCTTGGGAAGTTCTGGTTAACTGCCAATAGGTCAGAAGTACAGATAAAAATCGAGGCTCATGATGAGCATTTGAAGTCTGAGGTGGGGATTATGGGAATCCTCATATCACAGCCAGTGATTGGGCAGAAGCATAGGTAACAGCCTGGGTTTGATACAAGCACGTGAAGGAGATGGCAACCTTGGGAAATTGATTATAACATGATTATATATAATTATATATAACCTGATGCTATCTCCAGGTATATATAGATAATAATAATGACAGAATTCTTGAACACCCTGCTGGAGTCTGAGAATTGTTTGTTGATGTGGGAAGGACTCCATACCCACTAGAAGGGAGTCCAACAACTAAATAATGCAAAAACCCAACACAACTCAATTTTCTTTGCCAAGAATAGCCAATTTACTATCCTGCTTTTCAACTTCTTCTATAGATACAAACAAAAACTTACAATAAAGTTGCATCATAATTCAGATTTAGATTCTAAGGTAAGCAATAGAGAATATAATAACCATTTAAGATTAAGATTGTCATGTCGAAGATTTTATATAGTTTTTCTTCATATATAATGATGATACTAACCTACAATTGAAATAACCCTTGAAACTCTCTTAAAATGGACAATAGGTAGTGTAATGTGTTCACAGGATAAAACAAATTAGAGAACATGAATATACCTAAATCGCTCCAGGGTTTACACCCACTGACTGAATTTCCATGGCAATCATTTATGATTATGATTCTCTATCCCATCATGGGATTTGAACCCACTACAATATATAAACCAGAGAATAAAAACATTTGGAGTATAAGTAACCGCCAGATGCTATATTTCCTTTTGTATCATTATCAGTTGAAGAACACTTCTCTATTCTGCATGTCATCATTTTTCAATTTTTTGTTTCCAAAACTATGCAACAATTTAAAAAAAAGGCAAGAAAATATGTAAACCTCATTTTGCCACCAAATTAAAATTTTAAAAGTATTCATATATCATAAGAGTAAATACAACTGCCATAATTTAACTAGTGTTTTCTTAATTCATGCAAAGCTGATTAACAGGTTAAAACTTAGAGCATATTCAATTTTAGTGAGAAATCACATCTTACCCACAACCATAAGTGTGAATTCAAAACCTCTCTTCACTGATTTTCTGTATACTTGATTTGGGAGATTTGCAAATCCCACATAGCCTTCAAGGTTCTTCTGTTGCTGAGAAAAGTAAAAAGAGCCAAATTACTCATGTATCAACAAAACTTCTCTACAACACATTTCAAATTCTCTGCATTAATCTACTTCAGAAAACTATAAATAACTGTAATTCATGGCAAATCAAACAACTTTTATAATATTACCAATAAAAGTATTAGTTAATTGCAGCAATGGACAAAATGAAATGAGCATGAGTCAACAGCATAATGGCCTATTACAAAAAAACAAGAAAATAAAAAAAAAATTAAAGACACCAGTGTCAGAATAAAGATTTTAATTTATATAAGTTAACAGCAATAACATTATGACCTATCAACTAAAAAAAACAGATGATTTTTCATAATAAAAATTTTTAAATCACCCTAAATTATTAAGAATGTTTTAAAATGTTCCCTTTGCTCAGTGACCACAGGTGAGCTTCTTAAACTTTGTCATCCTTTTAGGAAGTCAAAATGCTACATTCAATGCAATTTTTATTAAGTTCTTGAAAGCTCTTATGATCAACATCAATTAATAAATAGTGTTTTTTGTTTGAAATCCAATTTATGTCATTTCATTGCTTCACATGAACCTGTTGCTCCTGTCAGAGACATCAGATTTATCTAATTTTAAAACAAATTATGATTCAGTTTTCTGTTTGGTTTCTGATTCTTTGATAACCTCAACTGTAGTTTCATGAGTAATTTAAAGAAACTTACTTCTAAATTGGTGTAGTAAAAAGTCTGATTTTTAACTTACCCATTGGTGAGAAAAACTGTCCATAGTTCAGACCATCTGAGTGAGTAGAGTCTTATTGGTTAATTTTACTTAGAAGTGGGTGTTATTCATCATTATATAAAATGGCAAAATATTCCTGGGGTATACATTTCTCTTGTAAGTTTTGCCACATTTAAATTCTTATTTAAAAAAAAACTCATATGAGATCAAAGCATCAGTTCAACACATTTGGTTTTAACAAAAAGAACAGCTTACATTCCTCACTAGTATTATACATGTAACTAAATATTCTATCCATAACCTTTCACCCTTTGTTCTCATTCATGTAAACTAATTTTTCAGGCCAAATGTTGAAAATTAAGCAAGCCAATCAAATTGAAAAGCTAATTTTAAAAACACTAATTAGGATACTAATCAGAATATACTATTTTAAAAATAAATATTTGAAAGCCTTAATATTTCTAGAGCTAAAAATCTACACATTAAATGGAAGGCTTCCTTGGTTCATATTTCATCCAACTGTAAGTTACATATGTTAACTGGAGCTGAAAAAAATGTTTCTGTATGAATTAACTAATATACTCACAGCTACTTTGTAAAGAACACATTTCCATCATTCCAGTGTTCCAGATTCCAACAGAACAGATCCACAGAGGAACAGTAATCGAGGAATTCCAACAATGTACATGACACATTGAGTCCAAACAGGAGAGCCAAATCCATTGGAACACAGCAAAAAAAGGAAAAATACAAGTTACTTAAATGTAACTCAACAAATGAGAGCAAATTACAAATAAATTAAAGAATTTATTTTCCTATACACGTCTAAGTAATCTCTTCATTGGGACATGAGGCTCAGTGAGTTTTAGTCCATTTTCAGTAGATTTTCTGACAAAATACAGAAAAAACCCCTCCTATCTTATAATATAGGCCATTACTATGCCTAGCATTTGAAGTCTTAACAACAAATAGTGCCAAAAAATGTAAATTATAATGTTTCAAGAAGATATAATGGGACATTTTACATCCCAAAAAGAAAATAAAATCGCATATAATTTTGCTTTGTCACTAGGTTCTATAGTCCAAACCAGACAAATGCAAACATTTTAGCTAAAATCTTTATAGAGCACTGTATTTCAAGATCTATTAAACTAAAGCTCAGAGTCAGAAGAAATAGAGACTTATGGATACAGAAAAAGAAAGGAAGCTAAAAATAGCAAATAAAAATAAATGGAGATATTAGCTATGAAAAATGAAAAGCACCAAATGAAGTATAAAGAAAATAGACTACTCTAAGTATCATTGAGAAGTGTCCATCAATTTTATTCTATGTTGACACAGATATTAGTTACAGCATGACTACAGCATGATAACATTACTGTAGTCTTACAGTTGTCATAATTAGATTTAGTGGATGAAAATCCAGTTTTTAAAGCTAATTAAATACAAAATCATGTTACCCATGACAAAACCCTCCAATGATTTAATGATTTCTCTCCCCCATATCCCCCCAAGAAGCAAAAGACAAAAGTCCTAATAAAGACCTACAGTTCTCAACATTAGAAGCATCTTAAAGTTACTTTGATAGCATACCTTATATCCCTGATTCAATCAATGTCTGGGAGTGTCACCTACACATATTAGTATTTTTTTTACATTTTATTTATTAATGCTTACAGGATTGGGGTACAGACCAGAAGTGTGGTGGATGAGAGGATTCACCATAGACAAAGTAGGGAACATAACAGGCAGATGTACTGAAATATACCATTGAGGGGAGCAGCAGGTGGGTCAGGAGAGGTCTGCCAGGCCATGTGGGTCGGCTCCCTGGCTGGGGATCAAACTCATGCTGCAGTGGCTTCTGAGAGCTTCATAATGCAATGCTTTAACCCGATGCGCCATCAGGGAGAGTCCACATTATCAGTATTTTTTAAAGCTCTTCAGATAATTCCAACATAGTCAGTCGAGCTGAGAACCACTAACCTTTATACAAGGCTTAAAAATATCTGACTTTCCTACCACTCAGAAGTTAAGAGGGTCATCTTTCATCCTTCCCTCCTCTTCCATCCACAGTAAAACTACTCCCCCAAACATATGAGGTATGCTCTCACCTCATGACTTTTGTATTTATTGCTTTCTCTTCCTGGAACACAAGATGATGATGATAATGATTATTCAAATGTTACCTTTGCAGAGGTCTGCCTCAAATACCCTATCTAAAATTATAACCCTAGTTCTAAACCTCAGTGTTTCACTGCTGTTTTCTCCTTATCACTTGTTATCACCTAACATACATTTTACTCATCTTGTCGCAATTTTCAGCCCACCACAACTCCAAATAGAATTAAATTCCGTCAAGGCAGAAATTAGATGAATTACATAAATTGTGACATCAAAAAAGAGGAAGCCACTTCTTTGGAGAAAATATTTTAGGGAACATATTCAAGAAACACATTAGATATAAAAAGCATAAGGAAATGCCTTACAGTCTAGTCTGTCTGTGTCTAATTCATTATTTTATCCTCAATTCCTATGATAGAATTTGCCATGTGGTATGGATTGGATTGAGGGTAAAAAGTCTAGCAAAGGGGTAGACTCTAAAATAGAGATGAACTTGATATTCTCAGGAACAAAAAGAAGGTATGTGAACTACAACGAAATGAGGTAGTGGACCTGGGAATGAGTGAAGAAACCAGGTCAGGAGGCAGTCAAGGGCCAGATCATGTGGGACCCAGCCAAAGTAAGAAGTTTGGATGTTATTTTAGGCATGATGAGAAGCCACTGGAGGGTTTTTACATAGGCAAGTGACCTGACCTGATTTGTGTTTTAAAGATAGCTCCTTCTGCTACGAGGAGTGAAAATAAGAAAACCAGTAAAGAGACTACTACAACAGTCCATGAAAGAAAGAAAATACTGAATTTAGATGGTAGTGGACAATGAGATAAAAATTCAAATATACTTTGAAGGTCGAGTTGTCAGGACACTGTTGATAGACTAGATAATGTGAGAAAGAAAGAGGCCAAAAATAACTGACTCCTAAGTTTTTGACTTGAGCAACTCAGTGGCTAGAACTCTATCTTAGGGAAACAGAACAATAGAGGGCAAAAGATTGGGTGGTGAGGGCGAAATCACAAAAAAATCAAAAACAGCTTTAAACATGTTGAGCTGAGATAGCTATTAGATATTCAAGAAAAGATGTTCAGTGGTTAAACACAAGAATCCACAAATTCCAGGATTGGCGAGTGCCAATGATTCAGGAATTGTAGCATATGGATTGTATTGGAAAAAGACTAAATTCCCAAAGAAACTATAGGTAGGAGGGGAGGACTAGCAGTTTCTAGAGAATGCCATTACTTAAAGGTTGAAAGGGTTACTGAAAAGGGTGAGAAAGAGCTGTCAGTGAGAAGGAAGGAAAAGCCAGGACTGGCTTACTGTCCCTCAATTCTGTACACCGAAAACAAATGAAATAATAGAGATAACACCATAAAATTAGAAAATGAAGTTATTGGTAACTTTGGATAAGAGCAATCTCAGTAATGTAAAAAGGATGAGTAATGAGATTGAGAAGAAGTAATACTTTGCACATGATACATTTTCAGTCTCCCCATGTGACTAATTTCCTAGAGGGAAAAAATCATGTCATCTGTGTTATCTTTATTCCTAGCACACTAATATTTCTAGCTATACTCCCAGGAGATATTCCATAAAGCTGAATAACTAAAACACACTTTCAGGAAAATTTCTTCTCAGAAAGAAATCATACCCAAAGACAAAAACAGATTTTGAGACTATCTAATAAGAGAACATTGGTTGACTAAAACAGATTCACATTTCATAAGACTCTTTTTTTTACCCTAAATCTTAAAATCAACCAGTCCTTAATTCTGAACATGTAACCACCCACGCATTCTTTTCCTGCACAAATAAAATGTTCACAGTGCCAGTATTAAACATAATCTCTACATAAGGAAACATTATTTATAGATGTAAGTGATATAACTATGACACTTACAATACCTTTGTGGGTACAGATAAAAGTATATTTAGTCCAGTTTCTACAAAATACCATTAGGTCTTAAAAATATTAATTTCAAGCATCAGTTACATAAGAAAGTTGTTCAATAATTCTGTTAATATTCATATTTAAGAAATTCAAACTGTAACAATTCTATTGTTTAATTTCACTGCTTAGGGGAAAATCAACTTGAGTATACTATCCAGTAATTTCAGTATTGAACAATTTATTTCTAGACATCAATTCTATTCAAGGAATAAAATGTTCC